CTGCGGCGCGGGCGGGGGTCGGTGACTACCTACCAGACCACCCCAACTCAACCCGAGGATCCGAATTTCGGGTTGGGGGGGTATGGGCTTCATGTGTGTTTGTTCAATGTTCCCCGACCCCCACACACTGGAAAAGGAAGGCAAAATGAGGCCTTCGGGTCGGGTTGGGGTGGTCTGGTGGGTGGTGAATACCGGGAGGGGGGACTCCCGTGGAAAGGAAAAGAGCTGTGCCCCCGGCCACAAACGTCTAAGAGTCGCTTCGCACGACCCCACTCCGCCTCCAGGCCTGAAATATATCGAACAAGCGCAGCGTTCCCGGGACAGCGGGGCTGGACAAACCTTGAGCCCAACATCTCTCAACGTTGAAGCCGAGGGCTGGAGGGATGGGGGGGGGAAGCGGCTCTTTCTAGCTCGGGCGCCGCCGTTGCCGCAAGCTCTGCTCCGGAGCTGTCGGAATCCGAACGAGAGCGATGCACCACTGTCGTGATCGTGTACTGCTCGAGCCGCACGGATGGGCGCAGCCCGGCCCGCCCTGGAGGTCGTCCGGAAGGGGCTCTGTCCGGGAGGGAGGCAGGCAGGCGGGCGAAGGGCGCGAGACGAAGGTCGGCCTCGGTGCTGGGCCTGCGTGCGCCGCGGGCACGCGGGGCACGGCCCCCCCTTCGCGAGGGGTGCCGCACGCTCCCCCGCCGCTCGGGGAGGGTGGGCGCGCTGGAGGAGGAAGCCGAAGCCGCTCTGAGCCGCCCGCGGGGCCCACGGAGGGTGCCTGCTCGCGAGGCCGTGCGGGAGGCCCGGCAGGAGGCCGCTCGGCATGGAGGAGGCAGGGGCGGGAGGCCCTCACCGCCGCACGTCGCGAGGAAGAGGAGCACGGCCGAGCGGTGGGGGCCATCGTCGGCCTCACGGGGAGGCCCTGCTGGGCCCTCGGACCGTCACGTGGCGGCGCGGGACGAGAGGCCGGTTCCGGGAGGCGAGGGAAGGGAGGGGAGGGAAGGAAGGGAGGGGAGAGAGAGAGGAGGGAGAGGAGGGGAGGGAGAGAGAGGAGGGAGAGGAGGGAAGGAAGGGGGGGCGGAGAGGAGGGAAGAGGGAGAGGAGGGGAGGGAGAGAAGAGGAGGGAGAGGGCAGGAGGGAGAGGACAGGAGCACGAAGCATGGACTGGCACGCGGCCTTCAAGGGGCAGGGTGAGGGAGAGGGAGGGAGGAGGGAGAGGATCGGCGGCGAGCGAGGGGGGGAGTGAGAAGGAGAAGGCCTTCTCAGAAGGCGGCGGGACTTCTCAGAAGCCCTCGCGCCTTCTGAATGGTTTTTGTCTGTCTTCGGGGAAGGCTCAGAAAACTTCTCGGAAAACAGGGGGACTTCCCCAAGCCTTCTGAGAGAAGGCCTCCTCCTTCTCGCTTCTTTCCCGGCTCGCTGCCGAGAGGAGGGCGCCAGGTTCTCAGACCCCCTGGCGCCACGAGAAAGTCGCAACGGAGTCGTTTTGCTGTTTTCGGCCTCGTGGGCAGCGCTGCCGCAGCGACTTTTCCAGCGCCATGGAAAAATCGCAGAGCAGCCGTAAGGTCAAGAACACGTGGAATACGAGTGTGGAGCAGGACGCTGCACATGCAGATAAATACGAACGCAAGTATACGTCGGTCAGAAGGTGGGGATATCCTAACAGTTCGAGACACGAGACGCAATAGATCTGGGTGGCCGTATTAGGTGCGACGCCAGGAGCAGAAGCAGAATTGTCACGCAGGTCGGGGGAAGCCACTGGGTTGCTTTAGTCCCTTTCCAACATCTGGTCGCACTCTTCTATTGGGTGGAAACGCAAATACGTTCTAGGCGACGCCTGCGTCCTTAGCAAGCCCTTATATTATCTGGATTCTACATGGCTGCTCAACGACCGAAAACACTGGACGCTTTCCATGAAAAGTGTGTCAGGCGTGCATTGGGATTCCCATGTTCGTACGAATCGCAGCGATGGGGCAAGTAAATACAGAAGGTGGCATGGCACATGCAATTATCGATCTCTGCCCTCCTCCCCCTTCTCCGCTTCCTCCTGCCTTCTGTTTCACAATCCCGATGCACTCGTTTTCCCAATCGGATTTCTGTGCACATGCAATTGCTCTGCAAGGTATCTCCTTGGCATGGGGAGGGGGAGGGGGGAGGGGGAGGGGGGGGGGAGGAAGGGGAGGAGGAGGAGGAGGAGGAGGAGGAGGAGGAAGAGGAGGAGGAGGAAGGAGGAGGAGGAGGAGGAGGAGGAGGAGGAGGGCAAGGATGAGAAGCATTCTCACGAAGAGTGAGCGGCCCACCGTGCACTCTTCTGCCGACGCGTCCTCCCGGATGCTCGGCTCCGCGTCGGGGCCTCTGTGGGTCCCTCGCCGGGCCCCGGGGGACCGCCAACAAGACGGCTCGGAGCCAGAGGCCGATGCCGGGCAGTGGGCCGAGACCTCCCAGGGTCCACGCGGTGGCAATTCACTGTTGGGGGTTCTGTCCACCCCCGAGCAATCAGTGCCAGTTACGGATGTGGGAAGGGAGCGCGGCGGGTGGTCTCTCTGCGAAGCGGAGCCTCGGCGGCGAGCCAGGGGGGGGAGTGGGAGGGAGGAGGCCTCCTCACAGGGCGGCGGGACTTCTCGGAAGCCTGGGACACCAAATTTCTCAGAAGACCTGGGGACTCTCGAGCCTTATGAGAAGGCCCTCCTCCTCCTCCTCCTCCTCCTCCTCCTCCTCCTCCTCCTCCTCCTCCTCCTCCTCCTCCTCCTCCTCCTCCTCCGCTGTTTCCGCTGTTTGCGGCGGCCTGAGAGATCCGCTCCCTGAGCCGCAACCGAGGCGCCTCTGCGCCCGAGCCTAGCCGCGCGCGCGGCCGACACGCGGGCGCCCTCGGCGCCGGGGGGGGGGGGCCCGCCCAGGGGAGAGGAAAGGGCCTCCAGGATCTCTCGGGGCAGAGGAAGAGCGGGGGGGCGGGGCCCCAGCGACGCTGAAGGCCAGGCACCAGAGGACCCCGCAAGGAGGGAGGAAACGGGCCTCGGGGGTCCCAAGAAGAAGGAGCGGGGTCCAATGGCCTGCGACTCGCCCTCTGGCCCGATGCGCTGCCGCCCAGGATAGCAGCCTGGCCAGCTGCGTCACCTGTCCTGGGCGGCAGTGCACAGGCCCTGGAGCACGGTGGGCCAGGGCTCGCCTGGCGTGCCACCCCCTTTACCCCCACGAGCACAAGGCCCGAACCAGGAAACCATAAATGGAAGAGGAGGCGGCGGGGGGTAATGGGGGAGGCACCAAATTATGTCCCTCGGGACCCCGACGACTCGGCCCCCTCAGGCGTCGTCGGCTGCGCTCTCGCCGAGCCTCGAGAGCCTCGCACTCTCAGTACTCGTCGATCTGGTGGTCCTGGACAAGGACTTCTCGTCCACCTCGCTGGGCCACGTGGTGGTCCTCGGTCTTGTAGTACAGCATGATTTTGTTGCCCGCGAGCTTGTGGTACTCGACTCAGTCATGCTGGTCGAAATTGTTGGTTGACTCTGCTGTGCCCAACCCTGTGGCCTTCGTCCCAGTCACTAGTCATCCATGTATGTCTTGACCAAGTAGCACTAGCTGTTGTCCTCGACTCGGTAGTGCTGGTCCTCGCAATACACTTTGTGACTGTGATGCCAAGCTTGTGGTGCTCGGGCCAATCGCGCTGGTTGAAGCAATGGCTGACTAGCTGGCCCTCGACCCTGTGGTGCTCGGCACCGTCGTGCTGGTCGAAGTGGTAGTACTTGGCGCGGTATGATGAACCTTTTCCATTCAACTCCACTCAACTCGGCATCGCTGATCCAGTGGTCGTTTGGCTCGGTGATGGTAGGCTCTTGGTACTGGGCTCGGTCGCGCTGGTCGAGTGGAGCTGCTTGACTGTGTGGGGCTCAGGCTCCTGGTGCTCGACTCAGCCGCTGAGGTACTTGTCGTGCTGGTTCCGTGTCGTAGGGGATCGGCTTGTTGCTGGTAGGTGGAATAGGTTGTAGGCGCACTCAGGCCTCCATGCACCGACTTCAAGTTGGGTTCTTGGCGGCCCCACCTCGCCCCGCTATGGCTAGGGGTCACAGTGCCCTCGGCGGGGGCGAACCCCAGGCCCAGTGATTCTTCTGTTATCGATGGGGAAGGTCTCGGCTGCCCTATGCTTCGCCCTTGGGCGCTCGGGAGCTCCATCTCCGCCGCGGGAATGGCGGGGGTGGCGAGCTAGGGCGGCCCGCGGGGGCGCGGGTAGTTGCGTCCATCCCCCCCCCCCCCCCTGCCCCTCACCATCCCCCCTGGTAGGCGCGGGCAGTGCCCGTCCTGCCCCCCCACCCTTCGAGCCCGTCTCGAAGTTTGATCCTTGCCTCCCCAGGGCAGCGTTGACTTGTACTTGGCTTGGTGTAGTTGGCATATCGTCTGGCTGGTACCTCTGAGCCCTGACTGTACGGCGGCCGCGCCCATCACTGCTGCGAAACGTGGCGACGCGTGCCTGGGGTGTTCCCTCGCATTCGGGGCTTCCCCAGGACTTGCGCCCTGACAAGTCGTGCAAAACTTGGCGACGTAGCCTGAGGTGTTCCCTCGCACCCGGGGCTTCCTCAGGACTTGCGCCCTGACCCTTTTGTACTTGTCGTCAGGGCTCTTCGTCGCGATCCGCGTCGTCAGCCTGTGCTCGAACAGCCTCCGTCGAGTTGGTGGCCCTGCCCATTGCCTTGTCGGGTCGGTCCTGTAGGGCCCACTCCCTCGCCTCCTCCAACCAGGTCGGGGCGCTCCCTCGCCTCGCTGGGCCACGGTGGTAGTCCTGGCCCATCTCCCTGGTCTTGTAGCGGTCGAGCGGCTGGAAGAAGTGGGTCACATCGTCGTCGATGTGCCAACCGTGGGCGTCGCTAGGCGATTCGCCAAAGCGCCACCTCATCTGCTTCACCAGTGCAGTCGCGATGGCCTGGCACAACCTGTTCGGGTACTCCTTGGCCGCCGCGGTGCGCCACTGGCCGTCGTCGCTGATGCCCGCCAGCTCCGCGTGGTAGGAGGCCGTGTGGAAGCACCTC